GGGGGGGGGGGGGGGGGGGGGGGTAATACCGAGTTGCATGTGCTGGCTCGGTGAGTAACGGATCCACTGCATCCCTCAGCAGTTCTGAGGGATGCGGATGCTGGTGGGTCGGAGCCGCTGCAGCCCGGGTCGTCTCGGCCCCCCAGGTCTGAACATGTTTTTCTGTGTTGTTGTTCTGGGGCGTGTCTGCTCCCACTGGACCGAGCCGATGTTTGCTGCACCTACATGTCGACATACTTCCCACCCCCTCCCTCTCTAATCAGCTCTAACCACAGATCCTTCATTCACCTGGATTATTGAGCATGCATCAGGACACAGATCCTTCAGTTCATCAACAGTCGCTTTATGAGTTGGAGCTTTGGGTGGTGACGTGTAATTAACATGTATGTATGTGTAATTAACATTTATTTATGTGTAATTAATATTTATTCATTAATTTCATTCAGGAAAATCCAAACGACTTTGAAGTTTCGCTGTAACAATTAAAACAACATATCAGGTCCATGAGTGCAGGACGTGCAAGCCTTAAAATACCAGAGGGTCAAACCACATGACAGGAGTACTGCAGTACTAATTTAAATACAATACTCATACAGCCTGTGTTATTACTATTTTTTCAATCTTGTGCTCTTGATCCTGCAGCTGCACAAGCTTTTTATTGTCCAGCTTTGCAAACATGAAGGATGAACGTGTCTGCATGCAGATGCTTTTCCTGCTTTAATATGTTGCAGACGGCTTCATGAGAAGCTGTGATCATTGAGGGAAAGACTTTGATCAATATTCCTCAGTGGGGCGGCAACACACACACACACACCATGGCTCCATCCTGCAGCAAACAAGTGTGTTTACAGACTTTCTGCACACTGACTCCAGAAGAGGCCGTTGCTCAACTAAAAGATTGCATACATTAATTCAAACTTTGCTTCAAAGCTCCACAACCTCCAAGTAACAGAAATCCATTAATTAACACAACATATAACTTTACAATACCAACATCAAAACCATAACATCATAGATGTGTTTTATGTGACTGTTGCTTGAACAAGAATATTTCAGAGTGTGACTGATGAGAAAGGAGGCCAAATAAAGCCATGCTTGGCTCAGTCTCAAAGCAGCCACATGTCGACGTGTTTGTTTCCGTCACACTCTGCGCTTCAATCAGCCTTTTCTCCCACACTCACGGAGGCTCGACCAGAGACGGCCAGTCTGCTGCTGTCAGTGAAGATATTTGTTGAGGCATTTAGTGGCAGAGACACGAGAAGTGTCGTCAAATTTTACTTTGAAACACTTTTATTATTATGATCATAGTCACCAAAGTCGAGTGGTGTGAGTATACAAACAGTTACATTATGAAACTATTAGTTTTACGTAAAGAGAGAGAGATCACTGAACTCTACTGGTTTTGTGCTTTTTAATAATATATGAAACAAAGAAATATACACATTTTTGTTTGCACAGAACTAGTTTTCATAACAAACAATATAATCTTAGACTAGAAACAGTAACTGATGAAACACATTGCATAATAAAAGTGATAAATCAAATATTTTTCAATCTTTTTTTAAACAGGTTAGTCCCATTGAGCCACGGAGACTCATTTACAAGAGAGGCCTGTTTTGAACAAATAGTGATGACAACAGTGGACAACAATGACAACACATTCACAAATGATGCATACAAATGTATTTTTTTTTTTTTTTTTACAATTGAAAACAAAATGATAATTAAAATTATAATCAAAATGATAATTAAAATTATAATCAAAATGATAATTAAAAGGAAACGTAGTGAAAAAATAGCTACATTCTGAGGCGATGTAATATACTACAAGTAAAAACAGGAATGTGTCTGCATTGGTTCTTGCCAGGATTAGTCAATTTGTTAGTCAACAACTAAATAAAAAAAGCATTAATTTAAAAAATGAAGATGTGTAGAATGTCTCAATGTTAATAATCAGCTTCTTTTTTCAACGCTCAGCTATGGAACCAAAAATTAGATGTGTCTACATGAGACAGGTGTTTGATGCTCAGTTCAGCTGCGATGCTGAGCGTGGCTGGAGCAGGAGGACACTGTGCACCGTGACATGGTGTGTGCTTAACAAACAAACATTGTTCTGACATTTAATTTCTGTTGGCAAACTTCTGTGAGCTGTTTGTTTGAGAGGTTGCTGTCTGAAGTTTATGTTAGGTTAGGTTAGGTTAGGTTAGGTTAGGTTAGGTTAGGTTAGGTTAGGTTTATTGTGATGTTCAGATCAACACAAGGTCATCAATGCAATGAAATGCTCAGGAAGAAGAGTCTTGATTTGTCAAAACAACAACAAGAAATACCAAAGCATGCAACAAAAATACAAACATAATGTGCCAAAAGTGAAAAAGAAATACATCTAAAGCAGCATGGTCCTATTAGCAGAGTGGTTCTGTTAGCAGCATGGTCCTAT